AAATCCACTTATAGTTAAGTGCCTAAATACACATAAATCTGCAGATGGAGAATTATTCTTGAATGTTATTTTACTTGTTGATATCTATACAACACAAGCAACCTGAATTATCATTTGCAGTTCATCATAATTAGAACAAATACGAGAAATCCAGAGGAGAATCCAAAATGTGGGATCTTACCATATCACATAGTAGTTTACCATTTCTCTCTGCTTGACGAGAGAAAGGATTAAATTGTTTCTGAATAAGACTGTGAGGAGACAATTATGCAGATTTTAAGAACATGTTCTATTGTGTCCACAATGTGCTTTATTCAAAGCTTCAGGAAAAAAATAAAGTCCTCAAAAGAGACAGAGCAGTAGTTTAAAAGCTAGTGTAACATTCTGAATAAAGTATTATGTTTATCATCAGGGAACATCAAATGAGAAAAATAAATGAAGTAGGAGCAGGTTTGGACACACAAAATAAAAACACGGCATATTTGCCTGTTTTTTTTCCTGACTTGAAATAGAAAAAGACAAAATGAAAATGAAGGCAACAGGAATAGGACATGGAAGTCTTCTGTGATATTATCAGACAATTCTATTTTAGAAGACAGATGAAGAACAGAACAATTTGAAACTAAATATGACATCAATGACTCTTAAATTAGGGAGCCACAGGAAAATGTGCTATTAAAAACTTTCAATGTCTGAGTTAAAATGGCTCCTGAAAGTCTGTGAAGAGGCTCAAAGCACAAGGAAAGGCAGAAGCAAAATTCTAATTAAGTCACAAAGTAAGGAAACAAATATGGTATCTTTCTTAAATTTTGCTACATATTATAACAAACTTTAAGTCTCACTATTAACTTATAAAATAACACATACTGCATAATGAATGAAAAACAGATTGAAAAATGATCAAGAGCTTCCTTTTCTCTGTGATAAGGCAAAGTATCATTAATGAACTCAAGAGTACCTCTTTCAGGCTAGAAACAAGGGAAAACCAGCTAGTGTATTTGTACACATTGCTGCTATTATATTGATATGAAATGATTAAGTTACAGCGAAGACCAGAGAATTTTATCCAGGTAGAAACAAGTAAGAAAGGAAGGGCTTCTGAATCAAAAAGATCTTGGCCAATTTGTTTAAAATGTTTTCATACATTATTGAAAATGTCTATGTGACTAGTTGCTTCTTCCCTACACGCAAATCCTGGAGGCTCCTGCCACTTGATTTCTTTCAAAATCATTTAAGATAATTTCTAAGGAAGACTTAGAATTTCCCAAGGTCTACAAGGTTAGATCAACTGTTTAGCATATGCATTCCTAGCACTACACATACACACACACACACACACACACACACACACACACACACACATCTACAGATAAACTAAACACTTTAAATAAATAAAACATTAGATAGCAGAAACTTCTAGTGAAGAGACAAGACATAACAGATTAAAAATCTAAACCATTGTCTACTCTATACCCCTTTGCACTGAGATTAATATGTCCCCTCTTGAGCCATTCATGTTTATGGCTTCTTTGGGTCTGTGGACTACATGGTTATCGTTTATGGCCAATACCTATCCACCTATGAGTGGATGTTTGTCTTTCTGGATCTGGGTTACCTCATACAGGATGACCTTTTCTAGTTCCACCCATTTGCCTGCAAACTCCATCATGTTATTGTTTTTAATAGCTGAGTAATACTCCACTGTGTAAATGTACCACATTTTCTTTATCCATTCTTCAGTTGATGGACATCTAGTTTGTTTCTAGCTTCTGTTTATTATGAATAAAGCTGCTATGAACATAGCTGAGCATGTGTCCATGTGGTATGGTAGAACATTCTTTGGGTATATGCTCAGGAATAGTATAGCTTGAGGTAGACAGACTCAAGTTTCTGAGAAGCCACCATACTGATTTCCAAAATGGCTGTACACGTTTGCACTCCCAACAGCAATTGTATTCCTCTTGCTCCATATCCTCTCCAGCATGAGCCGTCAATTTTGTTTTTGATCTTAGTCATTCCGACATATGTAAGATGGAATCTTAGAGTTGTTTTGATTTGCATTTCCCTGATAGCTAAGGATGTTGAAAATTTCTTTAGGTGTTTCTTGACCATTTATGATTCTTCCATTGAAAATTCCCTGTTTAGATCTGTACCTAATTTTTGAATTGAATTTTGTTGATGTCTAGTTTCTTCATGCAAGAAGGTACTCCGTAGAATACCAGAAGAGAAAAGTAATCACCCATCTACAAACCCTGTGCTCTACAAAAGAGAGCTGACTACAAGATGTACTAATGCTATAGTGGCACAAATGTTAGGAGAAAGAGCAACAACTTTTTGATTGGATTTGAGATCCACTTCATGAAATGGAAACCATACCAGACACTGTTAAAAAGAGATCAAGAATCTGAAACTAAACTGGTTATGGTGCTGGGGGAAAATCTATTACCATTATTCTCTGAAAGAAACATAACAATAAAATAACTCATAGTAGCATCCTGATATACCCATATATCGGCATATACTTCAACCCTTATCTGAGAATCTTCTTATTGAAGTAGATGGTTAGTAAGAGACCCACAACTAGAAAATGGAAAGAAAGTGAGGGACTTTGGAACACTCAGTCCTAAATGGGAGGTCTTCATCAAATCCTTCTCTGTAAGGCTAAGGGATCTATGTAGAAGAGAAGACAGGGTAGACATCAGAAGTGATGGATGACTCGTAGGAAACAGTGTCTTTCAGATATAATAGGAATGATGTACATATGAACTCACATAGACTTTGGGAGCACACAGAGACCTGCATATATTCAAGCTAGACAAAAATTCCAGCACTAAGAAGGGGAAGTGGATTCTAAGTTCCACCCCTAACTAAGAAGCTAATACCTTATAGGAAAGGGGAATAAGTTTTCTCCAATAGAGTCTAACTGGGTTTAGCAACCTCACTCAAGGGCAGGCACTATGCCCAAGAGTAGCTGGTCAATACAAAACGGACTTTTTCTTTTTATATTATTTGAGATTTTTTTGTCTTATTAGTCATTTTTATTATTATTTTTTTTGATTTACTGTGGGTTTTTTTTTGTGTTGTTGTTAAAAGGAGAGAAAGAGGCCAGGCGATGGTGGCGCACGCCTTTAATCCCAGCACTAGGGAGGCAGAGGCTGGAGGATCTCTGTGAGTTTGAGACCAGCCTGGTCTACAGAGCTAATTCCAGGACAGGCTCCAAAGCCACAGAGAAACCCTGTCTCGAAAAAAAAAAAAAAACAAAAAACAAAACAAAACAAAAAAAAACAAAAAAAAAAACAAAAAAAAGGAGAGAAAGAATATGAAGTTGGATGGACAGGGATGTGGGATTTATTTGTAAGGAGCCAGGGAAGGGAAAAAACATATGATTTTTTAAAATTAAAATGTATAATGTTTCGTTACACATAGACTCCATAATCCAATGTATTTGTAACGTATCAACAGCATTTGACATTTACTATATACAACAATACTTTGTTATTCATAGACATACTATTACATGCTTTATAAACATTCTGGAGCTCACAAACTGGGAGAGAATCTTTGCCAACTCTTTATCTGGCAGACAATTAATATCCAGAATATAAAGAACTCAAATCCCAGAGTTGGGCTTTGCACCTAGACAGTGTTTTCAAAAGAAGAAAAAAATGACTAAGAAATATCTCAGAAAATGTTCACTGTCCATAGCAATTAGAAAGATGCAAATCAAAACAGCTTTGAGATTTTTGTCTCACCATGGTATGAATAGCAAAGATCAAGAGAGCAACTGAAAACATATGAAGAAGGGATGCAGGAAAAAGAAACTCTTGTTCACTGCTGGTGGGATGGGAAAGCAGTGCAGCCGCTGTGCAAATCAATATGTAGATGCCCCAAAAGGCTATAAATAAAATCACGTGATCCACCAATAACACTTCTTTACATATGTCTACAGGATGCTACATAATACGCTGGAGATACTTGCTTAACCAAGTTCATTGCTGTTTCTATTCTAGAAAATGCAAAAAAAACCTAAATGTCCTTCAACTGAGAATAAAAGTGTGGTACATAAACACTATGAAATACTATTCAAATAAAAGAAAAATGAAAGCATGAACTTGCATATAAATGGATGGAACTAGGAAAGATTATATTGAGTGAGGTAACACAGAAAGACAAATGTCACATTTTCCCTCTTTGTATTTCTTGAAATACACAGGAAAAAAATACAAAGGAAAAAAGAGTCAAATGTGATGATTATGTAAAATGTTTCTACATCTCAGTGATCTAGAAATAAATATCCCAGAGGGTTAACTGAATTATGTATTGTTTTAGTTTGGACGTGAAGTGTTTGCCAAAGTTCTGTGTATTGAACACTTGCTTCCTAGGCGGTGGTGCTGCTTTTCTAAGTTTCTAGAAACTTGAACTTGCACCTACCTAAAGGAAGTGAAACAGAGAAGGGAAACCCACTTCAACCTAGGGCACTGGGTAAACGTTAGCACCGAAAAAATATCACTATTAGGATTAATGGCAGGTCCTATTATTTCATGCTGTTATCACTCTTGATGTTAATTTTCTGCAAATAGGCAAAGAAATTGTCTGTGTTAAATTCAACAATGAACAATTAAAGGCTGAAGTTGTGCCTTAGTTCTAGATCACCTGAAATACATGAGGCTGTATGTTCATTTCCTAGTATGATAAAAGGGGAGAGGCAAATTTTTAAAGAGATAGGTATATCCATATTCATTGCTTCTATTCATTCTATTGTAAGAAGTACCAACTAGAACAATCTAGACAAGGTAATAAAAGGTGGCCACATTGGAAAAATAGTGACTTCTTGCAGATGACAGAACTTTCTGTAAAGACCTTTACCAACATTAAATAATACATTGTACAATGTATAAATTACCAAAACAGTATATTATCTAATATGAATTTCAGTCTTACAGATCAGTAAAAAGTATTAACAGGAGAATTTAGAGAGAGAGAAATAGTCCTGGGCTTACATGTGCCTTTCATGCATGTCATCGTTGAAGAGCATAACTCAATGACCCGAACAGCAAAACTTCCTGGTTCTTCTGCTGGCACTGTCATAATGGAGACCTGAAGACCAGAACAAGTAACAGAAAAAACTGTTAGGTCTTTTTATTTTTCTATCTTTAGAGTGCTAACTTCACAATTCCCAAATATTCTTTGAGATTTGAAAACATTTTGCTTATAATGATTTCATTTAGGAATAAAATGTAAATCATGCAACACAGGTCTCACTATCCAATTTCCTCATTATCATTCATGTTTATATTGTTCTCATCAACTGAATATTTCAAATCTTTAATACCAATTCCATTCATCACACATCACATACTAGTCAAAAGAATGCAATTATATTACTGTTAAAATATAAGCACTCTCTTCCTTGAAATCAGATTATAATAAGTGGTCTAGTATTGATATGTTATATGGGTCATATTTTAAAAGCTTTACATGACTATTGGATCAACATTTCTCTACAGAGCTGAAGTTTCAGTGTTATTCTTCAGCCAAATCTAAAATGTGAAGAAACTATATCCTCTTAAAGGAAATGCTAGTGAAAGAGAAAGCTCCATTTTCCCTTTTCCCTGCATGTGCTGTGCTTGCATTCTGACAAGAAATGCAAAGAGGAAGCAACTAGAACACATTTTTTTTTAAAAAAATAGGAATTTGATGGAGGAAGGTCATTGGTTAATAAAGAAACTGCCTTGGCCCATTTAATAGGCCAGCCCTTAGGTGGGTGGAGTAAACAGAACAGAATTGAAGGAAGAGGAAGTGAGGTAAGACGCCTTAGACAGATGCTATTGCCTCTCCTCTCTGGGGCAGACGTGATGAAGCTCGGACCCAGGATGGACATAGGCTAGAATCTTCCTGGTAAGCGCACCTCGTGGTGATACACACATTAATAGAAATGGGTCAAGCAGTGTTTATATGAATACAGTTTATGTGTCGTTATTTTGGGGCATAAGCTAGCCAGGTGGCTGCGAGCAGGGTGGCAGGAACATAGCCCGCAGCTCCTTCAACAGAATGGCGCCCAACGTTTGGTTTGGCAGACATGGATAACTGAATCCACACAAAGCTTGAGAAAGCTTGGGAAATAGTAAAGCATGTTTTATTGGTAGCAACAATTTTTCGGGTCTGCTCTGCTTGCTAGACGCAAGCAACCGCTCTCATCTAAGAGAGGCTTCCTGACTCAGTTTTAGCTGTAAAACCCTGCAGCTCTTAAGAGGTCCTGCTACAAGAAACTTAAATGGTGTTGATAAAAGCTGACTGCATGCTTGTTTGTTTTCAACCATAGCAAAAAAAAATTGTGCCGTTTTAAAATGCCAGCTTTCTGGGCCGTCCTGCCAGGACAGACTCCAACTCTTTCAGGCAGTACGAATGAGTGTGGTCTGTGAGCAGAGTGCTGCAGTTTGCTTGCTGGCAAGGACCTTGAAATGCCATAGAGTTGTGGCAATAAACATGGCTACAGCCAGTACCTCTCCCATGAGGCTGGAAAGCTAAGGAATGAGCTAAATCCAGCCGCCAAAGTCACGGCTTTAATCCTACCCATATTGCTCAGTAACTTAAAGGCTCGTTTGGTCAGAAAAAGAGAGAGATATACAGTGAAGAGATATTCAAAAACGAAGAAAATCTCTAAATGGTTTACAGTGTGTTAAGAATATATGCAGGCTAAAAGTTAAAGTTCTTAAAAGTTAAAAAGAAAAAAATAGAGAGCAGTTGGGTGTGGTGGTACACACCTTTAATCCCAACACTTGGGAGGCAGAGGGAGATTGACCTCTGTGACTTCAAGGTGTGGAAGCATACGCCTTTAATCCCAATGCCTGGGAGGCAGAGACTGAAGGATCTCTGAGAGTTCAAGGACAGCCTGGTCTACAGAGTTATTCCAGGACAAAGATATACAGAGAACCTATCTCAGAAAATAAAAGTAAAAGTAAACAAAATAGAGGTTAAAATAAAGCCACACAAAGATGGAAAATACACAGAGAATCTTGATACTGTATGCTATTATGCTCTCTGAATTGTTTGAATGCTGAGGAAGGAGCAACAGCTGCTAAAAGATATTTGTTTATAAATGCTGCTGAACTAATCCAAGATAGATACTTTGAAAATACCTTGACTTCAGAATTTGGATCTAAGGATATGATACTTTGGAAGAGTTTCTTCTTTTGTTTTCACAGAGAATGAGACCCTGTGGATTGCTTCTATCCCTATATGGTATGATGGACCACGCCCTCCTGAATGGTTGCTGTGAACACCTTCAAAAAATTACTTCACTCAACTGCTAACTAAGATGAATGTAGCACACAGGTTATACCATGAAAGACCTAAATAACAGCACCCCCATTCAGCAGGAAACAGTTTGGAGAGAAAAAACTGTGCCCATATACCCAAATATTGTTTATAAATGTTCTTTTACATTTAAAGGGGGATATGATAGAGATATGAATAATTTGCATTGGTATGGATTTGGCTTTATTAATATATATTTAAGGTCAATCTTGTTATATGTATTTCTGATATTGATTAAGGTATTGTGATTGTGTAGTTCATATAAAAATGTAATGTATATAGGTTGTTAATAGATAATCATCTATAATAGTCAAGCTTGTAGCCGTGTTAGTTAGATTTTCTAGATATATAGAGATATATTTCAGTAAGATAGGCATTCTTCATATCTTTCAAAGACTACAGAATATGACATTTAATGTTTTAATAACTTAGGGTTTTTCATGACAATGAGACACTCTGCTCCTTGCAGCACCAATCTACTTCAAGAAGAAGATGGGCATCAAAGAAGCACCTTATGGAGTTGGTTAGCCATTTGGGCAAGAAACTGCTCTTGCCTGGACTGTTGCATAAACTGGACATAAAGAACCCACAGAGAGAGGACTGTTGAACTTGCCTAAAGGTGAGATGATCTTTTGGGGTTCCTGATTCATGAAAGAGTCTGTGAGACATTCTGCAGGACACAGCAGATAGTGACTGAACTGCCTTTGAAATTTCCTGCTTCATGGAAATGTCTGCTGGAAACTATGGGCCTGTAGGCCGAAGATGGATGCCCCAACGGTACAGAGGAACTTTGGGTGACTGTCCAGGCAGCGAGATGTCTCTGTGATTTCTAGAGTTTTTTAAGTTGCTTACTTCTCATTTACTTAGGTAATATTATATCCTTCTGGAGTCTTTGATGGAGTTAAGAATAGATAATTATAGTTGTTTTCCTTTGTTATGATAAAAGATAAAGTAGATGTAAATATTGTAACTGTAATTCTTGCTTTATAACTGTTTTGTTATATGTAATTTTGCTATGTTAAAGTTAAAGCCTTCCTTTTTTTTGTTTAAACAGAAAAAGGGGAAATGATGGAGGAATGTCATTGGTTAATAAAGAAACTGCCTTGGCCCATTTAATAGGCCAGCCCTTAGGTGGGTGGAGTAAACAGAACAGAATGCTGGGAGGAAGAGGAAGTGAATTAAGATGCCTCAGACAGATGCTATTTCCTCTCCTCTCTGGGGCAGACGTGATGAAGCTGCGACCCAGGATGGACATAGGCTAGAATCATCCTGGTAAGCGCACCTCGTGGTGCTACACACATTAATAGAAATGGGCCAAGCAGTGTTTATATGAATACAGTTTGTATTTCATTATTTTGGGGCATAAGCTAGCCAGGTGGCCAGGACCTGGGTGGCAGGAAGCGGGCCTGCCTGCAGCTCCTTCAACAGGAATTGGGCTTGATAGCAATGACTACCCTATTTGTCATCTATTTGGCGGCTTATGATGTTTCAAAAACAGTTCTCCATGTTCCTCTTAACTCCCTTTGCTGCTATTAAGGATAGAAAATATATTTTAGCATCAAAGAGAGCAAGAAACCAAAATACTGAACACCGTGAAATAATGAAATGATGACTAAAAATATGACCATAATTGAAAATGTTCCTTTAATGACTCTACTAACATGGAAAAATTTCTTTTGGTTCTTGCAATTCTCATAATTTATTACTGAGATACAATCAGTATTGTCCTACTGGCACACCTCCATCACCTGAACTCTGAGACGTTGACTCTTTAAGTATTTCATAGATTTTAAATTCCCTCTTTACCAAAAAGTTCCTAACTCTCTAACATCACCAGGGAATATGCGTGAACTGTCCACCTGTTTCTTTCCCTACCCTCTAATCTTCTTAGTTCTACTTGCAATTCAAAATGAAGATCTAAAGAGAGGTGGGAAGAGAGGCAGGGAAAGAACAAGGGAAGAAGGGGCTGAAGGAAAAATAAAGGACTGTAACTCTGTCTGCCATGTGAAGGAGGGATCTGAGAAGACAGATGTGAAACAGGGTGACAAGTTAGAAGGCAGAGACTGCAAAAAAGGAAGGAACGGAGACAACTTTTATGAAGAACAGGACAAGACCCAAAGGTTGAGAAATGTCAGAGAGAAGAACATCTGTGTAGCTAGAGAAATGTCAGTTCTGTTCTCGGAGGCAGTGAGCCCTTGAAGAAAACCAGAATGAGGGCAGAAGCTAGTGACTTCTGCTTTAAGTGCCTATCTCTTGATAGTCACAGTCGAACTTCAGCACGGGGACCTGGAACCCCATGCCTTCAAGAGGTGGCCTCTAGCATATACATGGAGTTGAGACTATGGACTTGCGTACATGCCATGGTGGTTTGAGTATGCAGGGCGGATAATACAGTTGGATGAAGGGGAAAAGTTTGATATTTAAGAACAGGAGAAAAAGAAAAATGAGCTTCAAGGAGGCAGAGAACAACAGTCAGGATTTGGAAGTCAAAGGTCAAGAGATAGAGAGGAAAAAACTTGTCAAAAGCTACCAGGAAAGGCCTAGTGGAAAATAATAAAAAAAATGTCCTCTGACCCTAAATATCATGGTTTTTACTGCATTCAGTAACAGAAATTGTGGTAGACGTGTATGGACAGGAGCAAGGTTGCGCTTTAGAAATGACTAGGAGTTCAGGAACTGGAAGCAGTAAGTATAGTGTATAGAACACACTATTAAAAAGAAGGGAGAGGCTGGGTACTCAGGAGAGATAGAGACAGAGTCAGGAGACTGGGCTGTTTTATTTGTTTTTAATATTAAACTTTCAGTTACTGTGTCTGTATGTGTGCATGCAAGATTGATTTTAGGTAATTATTCATGCATAGATCAAAGGCACCTGTGAGGGAGGTTGCCCATGAACAAGGAAGACATAGACCCCTTAATCACCCTTGAGATGGTGTACATATATTGTGAATGGTCGGGTAGAAATTCGAATTCTTTTGTGCAAAGCAGGTATTTTATTTTACCCAGAGAAACAAGAAGATGAACAGAGTGAGTTAGAAAGTGAAGACTGTTACTAGTCATTGGGGTGAATGAAGAAGCGATCAAAAGCAAGTGGAGGGATTTGTACATTAACAGCATCCAGCTGCATGAGGCTGATACCACAACTATGTGGTAAGGTCAATCTGCTTGGTTGTGTAGCTTTCTCAAGTGGCCCTTGGTGAGGAGAACCCTAAGAGAGACATACATAGATCCCCTGTGGAAGGGAAAACAGACAATATATCCTGAGAAGATTGGGAGTGGGTGGGAGAAGTAAAGTGGAGGGGGAGGGGATCAGAGGAGTGGGGCAGAACATGAGGGAACAGGATGTTCAAGAACGAGGAAGGACAGAGAGGGAGAAAAAGGGAAGAGCTATCTTGATTGAGAGAGCCATTAACGGGCTAGAGAGAAACATGGCACTAGGGAAATTCCTAGGATTCCATAAGGATGACCTGAGCTAAGACAGGAAGTAACATTGGAGAGGATGCCTAAACTGGTTTTTCCCTGTTATCAGACTGATCACTACCTTAATTGTTATCATAGAATCTTCATCCAGCAACTGATGAAAACAGATACAAAGATCCGCAGCGAAGCACTGGGCCAAGCTACCTGAGACCAGTCCAATAGAGGGAGAGGTGACAGTATGAGCAAAAGGGTCAAGACCATAATGGGGATACCCACAGAAATAGCTGACCTGAGTTAGTGGGAGCTCATTGACTCAAGACTGATTGGGGGGAAACCTACATAGGACCAAACTAGGCCCACTGAATGTGGGGGACAGTTGTGAGGCTTGGGCAGTTTGTGGCACCAATGGCAGTGGGACCAGGATTTATCCGTAGTACTTAAACTGGCATGTAGGAAAACATTCTCTTTGGAGGGATGCCTTGCTCAGCCTAGATATAGCGGGGGAGGGCCTTGGTCCTGCCTCAAAGTGATTTGTCAGACTTTGTTGACTCCCTGTGGGAAGCCTTATCTTTTCTGAGGAGTGGATGGGGGGTGGGAGGTGGGGTAGGATGGAAGGAGGGGAGGAAGTGGGAATGGGGACAGCTATGTAGAATGAGAAAAGATTACATTAAAAAAAAGAGAGAGAAATGGATACAATTAATAGCCAGAAGCAGGAAAGAGATTTTCCTTTGTGGTCCTGTAGAAAGCCCTGGAGGAAGAGGGCAGAAGAGAAATGATAAAAGTCTGAAGAAATAGAGGGGCAACTCTATGGACTGACAGAATGAGAAGAAATGATTAAAAGAGATAGGAAGACTGACTGGGGCATATTCATGATCATGTAAGTCTATAATCTTCAGATTTGACTGGGCCATTGAATCTGCACAAGAAAATGCACACAGAACAAGGAATGCCATAAAGTGATTATCATACATCTTTCTTTCAGGTCTAACTTGTTTGTAAGTCTCATACTCGGTAGAAGACTTCGCTTTGTAATTTAAAGAAAGGAACATCAACTCCCAAACTTACAAAAAAAATAGTTCTATTTTCACCTTCTGATTTTAACATGCCTCACATTTCTAAGGGCAATGCTTAGTCTGGTTTCTCTCTGACTTTTGGATGGACTTCAACTTATCAGTTACATTCTTTCTTGCCTGGGTATCTCAACTCCTCTGCTGACTCCATTCAAATAGCTAAAATCCTTAAGAACCCTTGAAAAGAAAGCCCTCCTCTTCCATATCCCTCTTCAGAGGCCAATTCCCATCTTCTATTTTCCAGTTCAGCTTCTTCAAAGAACTGCCTCTATCTGCTCTCTTCATGGTTCTGCCTCTCTGCCACTCTCCAATGTATTCACTAAGCTTACAGTTGGTTTAATGGGAAATCCAGACACATCAGCCAACAATGCCAGACCAATGTGATGAGTGAAACATTAATTGCTATATAGTTTCCTTAAACTATACCATGCCAATCCTTGTTGCACTGAACTGCACTTCCTATTTGTCTGTTTCTGTGCCCCTAGGCTATGTGGTATTTGAAAGCAGACATGCTATCACAGTTATCAATCTCTCCTAGGAGGCCACTACTCTCTGGCTGCTGAGGAAAAGGCACTTCTTTGGCAACTATTAAATGAAAGTTCAGTTTTAGAGATTTTAATATACAGTATAGGGGCTACTGTTACTAATACTATATTATAAACTGAAAACCTGGTAAGAATGGATTTTCACTATTCTTCCCATAAAAATTTTCTGTAAAGATAGACGTGTTAATTAGTTTATTGTAGTATCACCATGTACATATATTTCTCTTAAACAAATACATCTTTTATTCTAAAAAAGAAAAAAAAGAGGACTGAATCACCTGTTGATCTGACTCCGTTTTTAGTACAGATCCATCTGTTATCAGGACTGCCCTGGATATCTGCCTGCAATGCACAAAAGAGGAAAGCTGTGATTCGCATTCTATGGGTAAGTTTCATTTATTGTTATGTAACCAGCAGAAGGCATGCTTCAAAGATTTAAGTAAGAATAAAAGTGTCAAAACCCAGTCAAGTTCTGCTTTAATCTTTTCTTGGCTCAAGAAAGAAGGATGCATGACCTACAGACAAACTGCAGCTGACGCAAAGGAGAAGCAACTTTGCTAGGCTCCCCTCAAAACAGAACCCAGTAAGGAAGAAGGGTAAGAAATCAAGTTATACCTTCAGTTCGCTATACCTCTGCATGCTACTTGAAAACAGAATAATGAGAAGAGTCAACATAACTACACAGCCAGAAATGCTTCCGTCTTTCGTGTAGTGGGTGGAGAGCACCTTACCTGTACTGTACACGGGAACATGTGTTTTTAGAAAGGTAACTGTCTTCAATAACGAAATGTTTAGAAATTATTCTTTGACCAAATTGATCTATCATTGCTTTACATCTATAAAGAAGATAAGCATAGAAGAAAAGTTTATATTAATGATTAAGCAACTGACAAAATGAAATCATGAACTGATGATTTTGAATTTGAAACCTTGTGAACCTTTAAAAAATTGCCAACTACTCTGCATTTTCTGACAATGAACTAGAGATATATTCTGGCTGTTATTCTCACATCCTTTAAACTATAAATGCACGTAAACTGTTTCTTAAATATTTATTTTTATTGTCATTAGTCTGTAAGTGTGAGGCTAACAAAGTATTATTGCAAAATTCCAAGCTTTCCTCACATTTAGAAACATAGAAGTCATTCCTTTGTTTAGAAAAAAAAATCAGTTTTCTTTTTTTCCACCTTTAACAGTCCTAAGAGGGAAAGGAAAGCTGATTAAATATCTTGTATCATTCGCAGCCTGCAAAGGCCACTGAAGGCTTTTTTATTTTTCTGTTAAGTGTTGCTTTCTCTTTTGTTCAAGAATAGCTATCTGGTCATGCGTTTGATAATGTTTTAAACAGAAAAAAAGGATAGAGCCTCTTTTAATATCTGTTTCCACTTTACTTCAAAGGATAATCATGGAAAGATTTCTTTCAAGTGCTGTTTCCAAATAAGGAAAACACTTATGCACGGACATTATCAGGTCTCTGTCATCTGATATGTGTTGGGACAATGAATCATATAGAACCCTCCATTGACCTTCTTTCAATGTGTCTAGATAAAAGGATGAAAATTAGAATCCACCTCCTTGCAGTGCCACAAGTTATAAATGTACTTTATAGGGCTCATTATCCAAACTAATGGACTAAGAGCGACATCCTTGAAATGGACTTACCAGCACTGACAAAGCCACTATGCAATATTTCAGGAACTATATGCAAATGACTATATGTTTGCTATATCTTTTTATTATGGAAATATCAATTTGCTTTTGTCACAGCTTCTTTTGGTACAAGAATTTTTATTAGAAATACACTTATATGCTGATCCTCACACTTATATCATATTTAAAACATTCTGCTATAAATTAAAGCATCCTCCATTGCTCTAAACAAGTCAAATAAAGGATCGCTTATAGGTATATATTAAAATAAAATGACCAGCATCCAAGACCAATGCAAAAAGGAAATAAGTTTGTATTCTGCTGATATTGTTGAATAAATGCCATACCACTGCTGTCAAATTAGGATATTATATATAGTGATGTTATGTAATACTTATAAATAATTAAGCATATTTTAACATAAATCTGTTGTATGAATATTTAAATGACTTCCAAATCTTGCCTATACTTCAATTCTCTTTCATTTCCTTAAACTAAGAGCTCACATTATGTATATAAAGTATTTCATTAAATTAGTACAAAAGACTTACTTACACCAAATACTGGCCAAGGTAACTTTTAAAAAGTAGAAAGATAAGTTTGTTTTTTAAGCTCCTGCTTTGAAGCATTCATAAAAAATTTAAAGATCAAAGTACTTGAAGGAGTGGAGAAGAGACATCTGCTGAACTGTCATGATATAATGATTATAATTGTCCTACAACCACTGGCAAACATGCTGTACTTTTAACTAAGAAGCTACAGAAATTGAAGAAGGAATAATACAGGCAGGCAAAAAAAAGGGAGTATAAAGTGCTATGTAAACTCAACTAAGGAGTGCTTAAGAATGGGGCATAACTGTAATTATATTTAAAAGGACGATGGGGAACATGATGTCCATACTGAAATGGCTAGGATGAATTTTACTGACATCTGCAATTTACTGTGGAATGCAGAAAAGACGAATCAATAGATGGCCCAAGAGGTGACTAACTGAAGATGCATGAATAAACAATGTTCACTGCAGAAACTGAAAGCAAGACAGAAGAGGTGGTCACTTCAAATGCAATGTTGTTAAAGGGTTTGAAACCCTTTACCATAAAATGTTGGATCAAAACTGAGAAAAAAAGTGCTTTCCATATAAATCTGCAACGTCAGTGCCTTTTTAAAGGACACCTATTATCAAACAACTGAACAAACAAACAAACAAACAAATGAGCAATCCCAAAAATAAACCTAGCCCTCAAGATTACAAAGTCTTTCCTCTTTTGTTGGCCACCAAAGACTAATAAGGGATCCTTTGGTGACTGGCAGACACTGTTTTCAAGTGTTACAGTGTTAGAAAGAATTAATGCAGATAACCCAGAGAGGAAATAACGTGATACGGAAAAAAGTAAGCTCAACTCTGCAGGAAGGGTAAGATGCTAATTAATGTGCCTGTTTATGCAGAAGCTTCTGATGAAACAGTGATTTCCAAAGGAGGAGGAGGAGCAGGAGAAGGAAACAAATCAGAATCACACCTGGGGGACTTTTTCAAATAATAAGTACCCCTGGAGATTCTGATAAGCTTCCAAGTCCCAAGAAAGAATCAAAGCGAAGCCTCTGCTACTGCTGCATCTTTATGTTGCACGTAAGTGAGAAATGTCAAGCGCTACAGATAGAGAGAAATTACCCACATCCGCACAGAGTGAGGAGACTAGTAAATACGCCCAGTCTTAGTCTGGTAGATGGTAACAACATGACTCACCTGTTAGTCTCATTCTTACGCTCAAGTATTGAGGCAATAGCCCTAAGCAAAGCTGTGCAAACCAAGACGAGTTAAGCAAGTGCTAAGATTTGTTTTCCCTCAGATACTTGACTTATTGCCATATATGCAGCCTAATTGGGAGAACAATGAAGAGCAGATATTGATTTGGGACCTATTCTTAATCTTTGTATTATAAAGATTAATATAAAAATTAGATGACATTCGCTTAATGGAAAACAGCAAAATGAAACAGTGCTGCCAGACACATTAAAATACCCTCCTGCCTACTCCTCCCACACAAACCTAAGGAAGCCATAAAGATTAACAGCATTTCGGACTTAGCAGAGGGCCTTGCTGAGCCTCATAAATAGTAAATTGAGAAGAAACATGATAGGAGTTCCTAGTTACAGGGACACAATGACCAAGCCGATCATAAGAATCACTGAAGCTAGACAGAACATTTCTTGGGCAAGGCTTTCTAAATCAACAAACCACAACTCTTATTCAGTTCTTGGTTCAATGATACAAGAGGAAAAGTAGCAAAATGACAATAAGGGAGAAAAAACACAGCACGTTTAAAATGAAACATCTGGAACTCAATCAAGAAGAGAAAATAATAGTACTAATAGATATGCAACCCCTTTGATCTTCAGAATTAAAAGCCCAGACAATAACACAGTATAGAAATCAGAAATGAAATAATGAAAAAGGAAAATATTAGTTAAGGGAATGATAAGACTCTTAATCATTGAAGGAAACAAATCTTCCTATGGGACAGATCTTGTGAGTTCTCTTAAAGGCCAATTACAATTTTACATCCTTCAGAGAACTGCTCCAAAATGTTTCACAATGATATTTCCAGGGTAAACGTCTACTACAGTCATTTCAACTCATTAACAGGATTGGGTTTTCAGTTGGTGCTCTGACCTTTTCATAAGATGTGTATCGATCTTTCTAATTATGTACTAATTTCTTTTCTTGACAGAGGCTACTTATTCTCTTAAGAATATGTAATTGGCAAATAAAAACTAAATATATCTTAGGAATGCAATGTGACAATTTGACATATGCATACACTGTGTAATGAATAAAAGAATCAAATTAACACATCCAATTACCACCCACATTTGCCACTGGGGAGTAAAGATGCTTAAAATCTGCTCTTATCAAATTTCAAGTACACAATGAAGTTATTATTACCAACTTCCCTTTTACATCCAGCATGGCATGCTCCAAATTGGCTTTAACACAGATCCACATCTACTTTCCTTCCTTGTAATCTCTCTATCAAACAAGGCTATGACCTACACTTAGAACTTTCCCACCCAAATCTCTCTTCATATCTAATCTACTACTATATTATCTTCCACCTTAAAATATTTCTTATAATTAGCCTCTCCTTTCCCACATCACGAACACTGCCTTGGGCTCCTGTAGCATTTAACAAGGCAGTGGACTGCTATGAAGCTGATACCTCACTTATTCAACATAAAAATATGGCTGTGCCAGTACTGTTCCCGAAGGTAATAGTGAAGATGCAGACACAGGCAATTTTAAAATAATAGTTCTGCTCAGCCATAAAGGGTAAGGAATGAAGCTAGGAAGTGGTGGTACATGCCTTTAATCCCAGTACTGTGGAAGCAGAGGCAGGAAGATTTCTGTATGTTTGAGCCAGCCTGGTCTACAAAGTGAATTCCAGGACAGCCAGGAGTACACAGAAAAGTGCTGTCTGAAAACAAAACAAAACAACCCCCTCCCAAAAAAAAGGTGAGGGAAGGGCATTACAGAGTACTAAGGGAGGTATCTAACTCAACTTTGAATGGATAGGCAGAGTATCAGGGAATGTAGTTTAGGGAAACTGATTTACAATGTTTATACAGGAACAGAGTTAAGCTAACAAGTACAAGAAGGTCTCAGGCAAGAAACTTATAATCACGTCAGTGTTACCTGTCAAGAAGGTGGGAAACAAAGAAGGAAAAAGTAATGAGCCTTAGGCATTGGTCAGATATCTCCTATAAGGCTTTATGTTTATCCAGAGATGACCAAAACTCATAGAGGCTCTTTACATTTCCTCTTCAGAGAGCAGAGGGCAAGATCTGTACACCAAAAATGCTTAAGATACCTGGCTACATTAATTGTTTTATAACATCTTCCAGTGGACTTAAAACTATGTAGAAACAAAAATCCTGACTGCATTGTTCTCGTCTGTATTCCCAGTGCCCAGTACATCAAAAACAACTAATATTTTCATGAATGGAGGAATGGCTAGATGATGGAAGTATTCTGTGCTTATGAACATTAAAAGTAAGCAACTGTGATTCTGGAGACAAAGTATCTTTTCATTACATCCCTTCTTCCAAATCACTGCCAAAAGTTACTTACACTATTGAAAAGTATAGCTAATAAGCCACAGTTTTTTGGCAAAGGGTAGAATACATTAGGCCTTCTTTTTTAAGGGCATGACAAGGTTTCCAATTATGTATGTTACTAATGTATAATGAACTACTTGAATGTGTAATCAATGGTTTTATGAGGTTTATCTGCTCTGCCAATATTACAAGAACCCTACAAGATATGGTTTGTCGGCCACTCTATTTTTTTTATAATAACACTAGGGCATAGAGGAGTTAAACATCCTGCTTAATTTCACACAACTTGGAAATAGCAATGTCAGAACTCAAATACAGTTTATGTGACATTGAAGGCTGCACTGTTCCCTTAAGTTCCAATACACAGACACAGGGTCTATATTTTATTTCCTTTTTTATTGCATCACAACAGAGCAACTAGCATGGGGGTTGGTAAAGGGCAAGCATCTAGAATATAATTGTTACTATTTTACAAAAGGGACACCCAACAATCAGAACTTCAGTAATAGTACAAATGATGGAATCTTATGTTCAGCCTAACAAACTATTATTAACATCCAAATCAGGGAAGTTAAACAGAAAAAAATATTTCTAATATCCTAACAGCAATCTTAGTAAGCCGAACAGCTGAAGTATACATAGAAGATGAACACATAGACTATTTTATAGACCACTAGTCCAAAGTTTAATGTTTAATACGGTACTGCTAAGGAGCCAAACACAATTTATCTGAATTGTACCTAGTCAGCACAACTAGAAAGGAAAAGAAAGCTGCTCAAGAAAAACATTCAGTGTTTCAAAAGAAAAACAAACAAACAAAACAGAGGTTAGAGTGCTGTAGGAAGTCTTACAGCTTGTGGTTACCGCCTACTGGGGCTTGGCCTCTTAGACCATATATGTGGATGCAGAGCCTGCTTTTGCCCCTTTCTCCTTTTTGCTGGCTACTCTTTCAGATTGCTGGATTGTTGGATTTGATCTCTGTTCTCCGTTCAAGCAGAACAATTCTGATTTGTGAGTTTACCCCTAAATAAATAACCATCTATTATTTCTCAATTCTGAGCTAGAGTGGGATTTCTTTTAAAGCGTCCTTGCCACAGTAGAGTGTTAGAATTTGGGGGGAAAAGACTTAATAAGCAGAACTACTGGGTGACATAGTATGCAGAGTCTAGGCAATGCATAACACAGGCACAACAAATGAAGCAAAAATAAAAAAAATCAAACTCTAGGCAAAAATAGGAATGAAGTTGGTTACATATTTCATATATTATAATATTATGTGCCTCTCAAAGTTTACTTCCTACATTTATGTGTAAACATGATATCAGCCTCAATGCTGTGGTCATTTATATTCATGTTTCTGTCAACTTTTTTAAACAGAAGGTGAGAAACATAGCACACACACAAAGCTAAAGTCAGTTTAAGCCTCATTCATTAACTTATTAGATGGTTACTGAGGATAATGAGTGATAGACATGCCTTATATATAAAGATATTATAGTGAGATCTTGCATTTCCTACAGAGAATCTATCAAGTAACTGTAAAAGGCGACCAGACTCGCAGACTAGCATAGAGGTCTGACTTAGTGTCTGAGATTTCAGGACTCTGAGCCCAGGCAAGTTGTAATTATACTTAGTGGGAGAAGCAATGTCAAGTGTGCCGTCTAGTAAGAGAGGCAAACTATAAGAATACAAATGCAAATAAGTTTCTAAGTCACCTTAGAGTCCTTAAAAAGAAATGATGATTGAATATACTCAACTATAAGATTAAGATTTTATCCTAATAAATTATCCTTTACTTTTAGATCTTCACAATGTATCTCCTACTACTGACCTTTCTCTAAAATAGTACAGCTTAAATGAGAACAGTGGTTGGGAAAGATACATTAGCCTAAAACCAACTTGAACTTAAATTAGCTTTTTATAATTACATAAACCTGGTCATTGTTATCAGATGTATAAATTTCCAATTTTAAAATACTACATGCTTTTGTTTTTATATGTTTCTTAAGAAAGAACTTTAAAGATCACTTAAATGACTCATATAGTAAGGTAACAGGAATCACAGCACTTCAAGCCAAGATTAAAAATTATACTATTATTATGGGATAAACTGTTAAAGCTTGGAAGAAATAAACAGTTCAGTAAGAGAATTACAGGTCGTATCTTTAAAAAAGTTAAAAAAACAAAACAAAAGAGGATAGAACAGGGTAGTGATGGCATGTCTTTAATCCCGTCACTTGGGAGGCAGAGACAGGCAGATCTTTGAGTTCAAGGCCAACCTGGTCTACAGAACAAATTCAAGGACAGCCAGGGCTACACAAAGAAACCTTGTCTCAAAAAACTAAAACCAAGGAAGCAACCAACACCCACAATAGATAAGAAAACTATGTTCATTGTTAAACTGGACCTTAAGCAATATTAACACAGCCCAAAACAGACACTGTACCATTGGTTTATAAATTAGATATAAATTGTGCAAATTGTTTATAATGTGACTACTGGCCCACATTAAAGCACATGGAACATTTTAAGATCATTTATTTCTAAATGTTAAGGAAGAGCCAGCTAAATACATTCCAATATCATTTAACATAATCAAAGCACAGGGTCAAATCTGGCAGAAGACTCAATGGTTATTGCTGAATCCTTCTAAACTATCTTACAGATAAAAGAATTGGCCCCAAACAGAACTAGCTGCCATTCACATTATTAACACGATTCAAAAGCAGAATTAACAGACCTTTGCATATCTTAGGTGTTGGTAATCAATATGGAGCTCCAGGATAGTATGATAATACAAAAGATTTTAAACTAGAAGCAAGCTGCCTACTACCTTAAGTTCATAGTGTCAGTATATCTAGCCAAATTCATCTATCACAGCCTTATAATAAATTAAGATCTAGGATCCACAAACTCAGCACAGAACACAGTACTCTTGCCTAAATCTTTAAATTTAGCTTACAGAAATGATCACTGTTTCTCAGTGTCATCTAAGAACAATTTATAATTAATTATATTAGGTGACAAACACCTGTCATCCTGAGGTACACAGGAAGAACCTGTCTCAAAACACCGAACAAACCAACACAACAGAAACTTTATTTTGACTGGACTCTACAAGAATATTTACTCAATTCAATTTTCTTTGTCACTTTATACTTTTAAAATTACCAGTATGGAGGTTCTTATGGTTTCTAAGACCTTTATTCTTCACCTATCTGTTCCAATTAGAAGCTGGATAAGTTCATAAAAATAGATCCTTTATTCAGAATATTTCATAAAAATGTAAATCATATGTAAGGTGAATGTAGCCTTTATTTCAACAAATGCTATTACTGTACTAGCATACCCTTTTCAAGAAAGAAACAGAGAAACAAGGAAAGGAAGGAAGGAAGGAAGGAAGGTCACCAAGAAATATGAAAGAAAGAAAGAAAGAAAGAGAAAGAAAGAAAGAAAAATCACCAAGAAATATGAGCCATGCAAAATTTTTATGTGACTGAGACCAACATGTGGTACTGGAATGGTACCCAAAAAGTATAAAAATGATCGAAGCAAATAAACACCAAACAAGCAATTTATTATCTGCTTTCTGTCACAGGAAAGCATTCTTGTTTCAAAATGACTGTAAAAGGAAAAACAAACTGGGAGACATACAGACAACCCCTCCTTTACGAACTTACAGGACAATCACTCATATGAACTTCATAAGCCAAAATCTGAGTATCCTAATCTTTTATATATTATCACTTCTTTCACTTACATAGTATGATTCTGTTCTGTTGCTAAAGATACTTTATAAGAATCTTAAATCACATGTCAATTTTTACACTACAGAACTGCAAATTTACTAGGTATTATTTATTTCTAGCATTAAATCTTAGCTAAAATAACTACTTATAACACTGTAACTCACCTATGAGAAATTAATGGCCAAAATTTATTCTATTTGGACTATACCCAATTACTGCACAAAGAAACAAACTGTTTGGGAATCTAGTTACAAATATTATGGCACTTGATAATTTCAACAACACTAATCTTAATACACTCCTAAAATAGTCATCTATGAAACACAGTCAATAGACACTTGGAAACATCTAAGAACGAAGAGAAACAGCAGTTTCAATAGCTCTTAAAACTTTATCCAGTTGACCTATTTCTGTTTCAAGGTAAAACTTATAAATTGTATGATTGTGTTTTACTGAACTTAATTCAGACAAAAGTATATACTAGTAATCAATAATAAACCCTAGAGAAAATAATTAAAATACAAAATAGAGGTAAATAGATGATACTCAGCTAGTGTAAAAAAGCAGGGAAATTCGTCCTTTAATCCTTTACCAGCTTGTAGGCCTGATTCTGTTGTAAAAGAATTTATCCTCAGATAACAGGGCAGCATAGTTTATGACAACAATCTACCTAAAAACTCATTAAAGTCTTTTCTCTTGAAGTGACATGCATTATCAGCAGAGATTAATCTGATGAGTCTTTAGGTGAGCTCCATTTTTAAAAATGCAATAACAGAGGGCTTTGTTGTCATCTGATGAAAATCAATTAGAGGAGGTAAGGCCACAAGGAAAACTAACATCACTCATCACCTACCCCAGGCAGCTGAAATGATTTGTCTTCCAAGCTTGAATGATCAGGAGCTACAGTCATAATGCAGGGAAATTAATTTAGTTTCTATATTCTGAACTCACTTTCCTTGTTCTGGAAGACCTAAACACAAATTACTTTTAATCAAGGTTGATATGTTATAAATACCAAGGAGGATCATTCAAGAATCACTTTTTAAAAAGCAACTTCTGTTTTTCACCCATGTCTAATGTACACATATAGGAAGGTTATGTATGGCATTCTTACTTTCTGGATTCTTTGTCCACTACAAGGCACTGTACAGAATGGCGAAGACAATAGATTCCACCAAACACAGCACACATTCTAGAAAGAGAATAGAAAAATGAGAATTAAGATAACTGAGTTGAAAATTAAGGGAACAACATTTAGTTATCTTAGCAACTGGGATTATAGAAAAGAAATCCAATAATATATAGTTTTCATTACTCATTTAAAAATTTCTCAGACGTAATATTAATAATTTCTTTATGCAACAAAGTGATCATGATTAATAATATAATATTGATCTAAAATTATGATCTGGCCAAAAGTGTCACTAAGCAAGAGTTAAATTTCCCCCTAAAGTCAGGTCCTGCAGTTTCTAAGGTACATATAAGCATAAATACCCTCCAGAGGTGATGTAAGATGAACCACAACTACAACAAACAACAACAGCACAGAAGGATAATGAAAGATGGAACAAAGTGATTTCAGGGAACTTCTGAAGAAATCACTTACCATAGAGGTAAGCAAAATCTCCAGAAGCCAAGACAATAACTAGGCACTGAAAACATAGACCATGGCATGAGTTAACATGCAGCAGAAGCGGGAAGGAGTTTGCTGTGCCATCCAGCTATGCACTAGCGATTCAACACCCGCATAGGGAGAACAAGCCTGAAGACCTAAGCAGAAAAGGAAATCATCTTTCATGATATTTCATTATTTAAGGGATATACTTCAGTAAAATGATGTAGAAAAGAAACACACTCATTACTAGAGCTGCAGGAGTGAGTGGATAGGTGTGTCGGTAAGCAGAATGCTGATTTGTCTTGAAGCTTGAGCAGACGAAACATAGACTTCTTTACTCATAACCAAGGTTTCCTCCTCTCTAACATTGGAAATTTGAAAAGATTACACCATTAAATGATGCAAAACACCCCTTACCAAGGAAATATCAAGAAAAGTGGCTCTAGGTAAATGATAACCCTGGACTTCAACTAGGGCCGTATGAGACTTCCATAGGTTAGAATCTCACAATGATGATTTTAAAACTTGAAATTATCCAGTACAAAAAGAAACACATCAAGCCACAAGTGAGAATTAGCAGACACAATTTAACAGCAGGCTTAAACCCATAACACCTTATTCACATAGAAATATTAGGTAGAGGTTATAGGTATGCATAAAAAGGATTAAACAAAACTGTGAAAGAGAACAATGGAATATCAGAAAGGTGACTACAGTAGGCTGATTTGTCTACCAGCAGATGTCCACACCCTAATCTCAGAGATATATAGACATGGTACACTGCCATCATGACGGACTTTACAAGTACAATGCACTAAGGTTCCTGCTATCAGATTATCCTGGTGAGCACAACACAATTAGAGTGTTCTTCAAAGAAGCAGGAAGGTTAAAGTCAGATATAAAGATGTGCAGATGAGCACGGGGGTCAGAGGGAAGCTGTTTGTATGAGGTGGCCCCATGCCAAAGAATGCAGGTGGCCTTTTTAAACTAGAAAAGGAAAGGAACAGAGCCTTCCTTCCGTGCCCTAAGAAGGAATGCAGCCCTGCTGGTCCCTTTCAGACTGCTGACCTTCAGGAATGCAAGATAATAAATTTGTGTTGTTTTATCCTACTGAGTCAGTTAGTGCAGAAATAGGAAATTAAGATACACACACACACACACACACACACACACACACACAAATGTTTATAAAAAGAGCAGCAATATGAACCAAGGTAAAGAATGGGTCATGACCAAGAGATTTGAGGATAGCAAGTTACATTTATCAGAAGAATGATCTCTGATTCGTACTGTATTCAAAATCAGTTTCAGGAAGAGAACAGGCATAAGTTGGAAAAGCAAAGCTAAAAGAGAACACAGGAAGATATGGAGTCAGGAAAGAGAGTTCTCAACAAAATACAAAACTCATCATTAAACTGAGAAAATAGAATAAATTTAAACATTTAAACATGTTGACAAAGTTTTTTTTTTCTTTTTTTAATTATTTTTATTGAGCTCTACATTTTTCTCTGCTCCCCTCCCTACCTCTCCCCTCCCCTTCAACCCTCCCTTGCAAATTCTTATATCTTAAATTAACCTATTATTATTAATCTGTGTATCGCTACGAGTCTGTGGTTTGCTAGGTAAGGTTCTGGCTTCTTCCTTCTTTGGAAAAAGTTTTTTTTTTTTTTTTTTTTTTTTTTTTTTAAAAAGGCAAGCCACAGATACAAAAAGAGATGTACAAATACATTAGTAGTTACTAAGTCTTGAATAACACTTTGTTGCAGTAATCTCAAAATGCATACATTTTTAGAGCAGCAAAACCTATTGCTATGTAGATATTTTAGGTAATCCCTGTTATATGTATGGAAGAAGATGTAGGCAACTTTTTCTTTCTTCCTGTACACATTTTAGGCATTGCAGTTAAGGAAGAATTTTGACTGCCTGAGTTCATATGCCAACTATGCCGCATACTAGCCGTGTGACCATGGAAACAGGATAATCAGCTCCACTATATTTAATTTCCCTCACCAGCTTTATTCACATAGGGTTCTTTTGAAGAAAAAACAAAATATCGTAAAAAAATTATAAAATATACAATATACAGAATTACAAATATATCATATGTTCATTTTAAAATGGTCTTTTTATATACCAACATGAAATCAAAAATATCTAGAGCAGAATTAAAAAATAAATGGGCATTTATATACACAATAAAGAAGTTTCATTTAACCAAAGAAGATCTAAGATCTAGCCATTGTCCTGATCTTCCGGGAGGTGATCTCTATGCCCTCTAATTGTCATGCCTGAAAGGAGTGTTGTTGTTTGCCCAGAGACACTGGTTCAACAGACAGCTTTAAGAAATCAATTAAGGGCAAAGGCAGGGTGAATCAGATAATTTTAGGATGGGGGTGGCCAGATCAACAGTTTGAGTAGGGACAAGAGCTTTGGCCATTTGACAAATAATCAACTAAACTCCAGGACTGGGCACTGACCTCAGCTTCTAGTGAAGTTACACTAAAGCAACAATTAGAAAAAGGCGAATACTGATGCCCAAGTGAGTTTTTGTGCCTGGTTATACAGGCAGGTCATATACTTGCATTGGAGAGGAATAAAGCTCTGATTCTTCAGTGAGGAAACATGCTAGAAACTATACATTTGGAATCCCTCAGTGTTCTGCCCTAAACACCTTGAATTTCTTTACTGCTCCTGCAGAGGGTTAGTTCTCCGAACCTATATCAGGAGGCTCACAAACATCTATAACTTCAGTATCAAGCGATCTGACAACCTCTTCTGGCCTCCCTGGGAACCTATATGCTCATGATGAACATAAATTCATGAAGGCATACATACATATGAATAAATAAAAATAAATGAGTAAATTCTTAAAAAGTAATTAAAATCTTTAAAAAGTAATTAAAGTAAATCTGCCTAAATTTTGAGGTTTGACAAGACCAAGTGAGTACACTGATGTCTTTATTTTAGTCTATATTGAGAATGTATTTCATAATCTATCAGATGTTAAGACATCGCAATCAACAGAGTCTAATGAGACTTAGAAAAATAATTTCCTGATTGGACTCTGTAGTTGCATTTGCCATGTGGTATTCAGCCTTCTGCTTTTGGCAAGAGAGTAATGACATACAAGAAATCATGACTAAGGTGACTACCGTAATCTTCACTGTCAATTTCCTGCTGATAACGGAAGAGTTCGCATGAAACATCATTGGTCTACTTCACACAAATAAGCTAAATTAAATGTAAAGCCCCCAATAAATGCTCTCATTTGTTTGGGGGATATATTTACATTGTGAGTGTGGTTGCAACAGTGTTTCTTAGCTACTCAGAAGTAGTGACAGGTGAACTGGCACCACGTGACCTATAGAAGTTTTCATCTCAGACTAGGCCACATTCTCATGTTCACTCCTCTCCTATCCCTGCATGCTCACAGCAATAGAGAAAAGGTAAAGTAGCATCAATTCTTCAAGAGGGTATGCGTCTTAATTTTTTTTTTTTTTGCTTTTTCGAGACAGGGTTTCTCTGTGGCTTTGGAGCCTGTCCTGGTCTCGAACTCACAGAGATCTGCCTGCCTCTGCCTCCCGAGTGCTGGGATTAAAGGCATGCTCCACCATCGCCCGGCTGTGTCTTAATTTTGAAAAAAAAATTCTGACTAACTTAAAGTTGTATAAAGTAAAAATGTTATGAAACATGTCACAGATTACCACATTATCAAAAGATTCCTAAACGTACTTAATGAAACATGATTTTTACAAAGACCTCTTTTATATTTCTGTATGAAATATGATATTATTTTGCATATATTATCTAGTATCCTTCTGAAAAGAAACCTTTACAAAATCTGAGTTACATGAGACCTCTATAATTCATCAAAAATTACCTAATTTTGAACATGATATGATCTAACAACCATTGTTGTACACACTATAGGAAAAAAAAACATGTAAAGAAGGTAAAGGCCCAGATGACCAAATTATGTGAGTGGCATGGAGCTTTACAAAGAAGTTTAATGGCTACACATGGTCATGACCATCCAACCAAAATCTCTCCGAATTTTAAATGAGAACGTAAGTATTTACTGGTCTTGCAAAGAATAACATCTACTACAAATATCTGAGACTACAAGGTTATACACTTTTCATGAAAGTTTACACTTTTCAAACTGCTGCTCTTTGGGCTTGTCTGCTGGGAAGGGAAAACACATATAGTTTACAAGGGTGGTATGTATTCTCTCTCACCCATCTATTTTGTCTTCTGCATCTTTTGCTCCTATCATGAAACTCAGTAGTTTGTGTCGGCCAAAATAAGGACATTCATCAACTACTCTTTGTGACTCATTTCCGTATTTTGCCTTCAGTGTTTTTTTTGTTTGTTTGATTGCTGGGTGGTATGACAATTAGCAACAGAGGAAACTTGGTAAAGGTGGGTAGGAAGCTCAACAGTGTGTTCTTGAGAGGTATATTCAAAACTTAAATAGTAACTGTGATCGTTACATTCAGATTACTGGGGCACAAAAATAATGGCCATTACTGAATGCTTTCTACATGCCATATATACTACATGTATGAGCATGATAC